GTCTGTATGTGGTGGTTCTTGATGCACTGACACCAGCCTCAGTCCACTCCTTATGGAGCTCCCCCAGATTTCTGAATCGCCCTTGCTTGACAATCCTCTCAAGGCTGCGGTCATCCCTGTCACTTTTGCACCTTTTCCGGCCACATTCTTCCCTTCTTCTTAACACTCTGTTAATATACTTTGATACTGCGCTCTGTGAGCATCCAGCTTCTTTTGCAATTGCCTTTTGAGACTTTTCCTCCTTATGGAGGGTGTCAATGATGGTCGTCTGCACAACCGTCAAGTCAGCAGTCTTCCCCATGATTCTGAAGCCTACTAAGCCAGACTGAGACAATTTCAAGGCTGAGGAAACCTTTGCAGGTGTTTTGCATTAATTAGCTGACTAGATTGGGACACAGGGAGCCTACAATGTTGAACTTTGTCATGATATTCTAATTTTGTGAAATACTGGATTTGGGTTTTTTTTGTCATCAAATTTTTTGGCACATACCTGTAAATGACTACATGATACAGCTGCCAACACTTAAAAACTCTCCAGACTTCTGGTGAAGTTCACTAAGCCAAAGCTGGTTTTTATTGTTTCGATAATAATGTTGAAAGTAAAAGTATTAACTTGAAAGCTAAAAATCTGCCAGACTCTCAGCCATCTAGTCCATTAAAATGGTTTCACAGTTTTTCCAAGTCTGTTTTAAAACAACAGTCAGATGCTCATATGTACCTTGAAACAAGTCCTATAGGTTTTCTGTCTGTCAGTTAGTTTGTGCTAATTTGATGAATGACATTATTTAAAGAAGATACTCATATGAGCATGGGGCCTATCTGTGTGAGAAGGCCGTGAGATTACATAACAATTGAGGACTCAACTGATAGGTACTATACATAGTATGTAATCATATTACCAAAAAAAACAACAACAACACAATGATCCTTCTAGGCCCCCTGGAAGCCTGGGATGTCTGCATGTAGAACCCAGTTGGTAATCCAGCCTTCCAACCTGTAGGATTGTGGTTAAGTCTTGAATATGCTTCATTATTCATCCAAGAAATCAGTCATTTAATAAAACTTGACAGAAGGATTACGAAATGTCTTCAGATTTAACCAACAAGTTCAGAACATCCTGGCAGCTCAGAGACAAAGACATGCACCACATCTAAACCCAAATGTCCCTGGCTTCAATCCAACCACTACATTTCTGCATGTTTCCTGTTTAGTTCTGAGCTGTATACTATCAATAAAAGGCAAAAAAAAAAAATAATAAATCCAACAACAAGCTGCTCAGCTGTCACTTAAACTCCATCTTCCCAAAATGTTGTTGTAATTTCTTCCAGCTGTGAATAGTTCCTCCATATCCTCAACAGCACTCTCAAAGATCCAGCATTTTTACTGTGTAGACTTACCAGTTTGAGGACACTTTATTTCATAACTACCCATTGTGCCCTTTGTTGAATAATTTTGCAAAGATGTGGTTAATTTCCTTCCCAAAAGCTCAACATGCACTCCACAGTTCATGATTTTAAATGCTGATACCTGTGGATCAGATGGACTTTTTCTTGAATCCTGCACATAATATGTTGAATGAGTCATAGTTCTGCTACATTCCTCTCAGTGAATCACTGGATCCAGATACATGCTGTATACTTAGTCTTAGTGTAATTGATATCAAAACTAGGGCAAGTTCACATCTCTCATATGGTACCTATGGTATGGAACAAAAATAATTGTTCATTGATAGAAAACCAGCAATACAAGTGTTGCCAAGCACAGAGCCACGGTTATCCTTGTGTTACATACCATAAATAATTAACTCAGCATTAATCAACATGGCACAGTTGACCATCCTAGTTAAGATTACTGGAGTTAGAATAAACACCTATTTAATGCAGAAAAGGTACAATTGCAGTTGGCGATAGATCCCCTGAGGCTATTTCTTTTTTAGGTTTCATATGATTTCTTTGAAGTAAACGTTCACTTGTAGTTGGCGGGTAACTAATGTGTATTAATGATTCGTTATGGAAGAGCTGATTACAGAGACGTTAAATCTCGCCTGTCCCTGAACATCTCACATATACACTGGCTTTTATCATAAAGCATCTAGTGATCGCAGACAATATAGAATAAAACAACTGGTCATGCATTAATCAACCCAAATAGCCTATAAATAAAGGAGCAAAGTTAGCAGTGCATTCCTTGCTGGATTCTAAAATCGACATCTGAAAATGATTTTGGAAAAAAGTGGATTGCACCATTATGGATTCAAGAAGATCCCCTGGGTTGGATATTAGGCTGTTAGTTGACACACAGTTATATGAACTTTATAATGCAATCCAGTGTAATTTTATATTTGCAGTTTTTTAAGAACCTTTCTGTCAGATTGTTTTGTGGTCAAAAAGAAAACTGTATAAACCAAGGTGGTGAGTCTTTCGCAATTGTCTCAACCGTGCTTATATAAACTGACCAAATGTGTTATTCATCCGGAGCTCAAGGCTCCTCTTTCATTGCCAAACAGTGTTATAAACTATTGCTGGCTTGCTTTTGAGGTTCTTGGCTCACTGTGACAATCTCCAGGGGTAAAGAAAGGTAAGTGCAGAGAAAATACTAGTTTTTACATGTGTTGTTCCTCAAACACCACCCCTTTTTAATTTGAATCAAGCAGAGTTTGTGACTGGGCCAAAGAAATGATTAAAACCACGCTAATATCTCTGAGTCAGAGGAAATGATAACGAAGTTTCACATTAGTGATATTGAGCAAGAACAGGTTTCTTAAATATACAGCAAGTCAAGACGACTCCTTGGCACTCGCAGGGACCTCGATAATGCCCCTGTCTGCTCTTGTAGACATTCCTGTGAGAAAAGATTATGGGCTGCGGGTTCAGTGCTTTATTATTTTTTTATAGTGCCAATCACTGATCATAAACAAAGCAGGTGCATGCAGATACTGGTAGAATTGGCTCTAAATTGTGAGGTGATGATAAAAGGCAAGGACTGATGCTTGGCTCACAGGAATTGTTGCAACCTAAAGGGGAATTCACAAGTGACAGCTGAAATAAACCTGAAGCACCATCATGTGGAGAAAGAACCAGAGTTGCTCGCGTCTCCCTTCACAGATAGTCTCAAAAGAACTCATTGCTTAATGTTTCTAACTCCCTAACTGACTAAAGCAGAAATGTATCGTATTAGATTATCTGGCTGACAAGGCTCCAAAACCAACTTCTGCACACTGGTGTCCACATAAGAAGATCTGGAAAGAATCTGTTTAAAAACATTATTTGGAAATACTTTTATTTTGATGAATGACTACGGTCATTGTGAGCGGTACAGAAGATGAATGAAATGAATGAATGAATATGATCATTGCTATATTAATACAGAGTTGCACTAAATTCCCACCATTATCCACATCACTCCCGGTCAGGTTGCCGGCATCACTAGATTTATGAAATTACTAAGAAAAATTGTGCAAAACTTAAACAATGTGTGTGTTTGTGTGCGTGCAGTTTTTCACAGTCATAAAATGTACATTATATTTGCAAAGTTTTTAAATAAATATCTATATTAAATGAAGGCCACTTAAGCAGCTGACTGGTTTTATATTTTGTCTGTTGTGGTCCCAACTTTGTTCTTTGCCTAATGTCATTTTACCCATGTATGTTTTTCTCTTTAGTCTTAAGTTTCACTTCTGCTGGACTGAACAAGTTCAGTGTCTCCCTTGTTAGGATTACCTGTGGCCTTGGATTAGTTCAGTGCATTCATGCTCTAAGAGGGACTGAAAGATGTTGATGGCTGTACAATAACTGATGAATGTTTTGCATCAATATTTTTTGTTGGTGATGTAATCAGAACACAAAGCCATAGCTAATTAGTTGAGACTGGCCCTAGTCTGTCAGTTATTATTGACTTACAGTGTGGGACAAAAGAGCGGTCCTCATTTCCATATGTCATTTCAGTTCAGTATTGCACAACACCGGAATACTTTTCAACATTCAACCAAATGA